TATGCTTGGGATTATTTTTCCTTTCTCACAGAATCTGTTAGTCATGTAGAAAAGAATAGTAACAAAGAATTAACACTAAAGAGAAAACACAACTTGCTCTAACAAATCTGACCATATATGCTATTTCTTAAAAAAAAAAAAAAAAAAAAAAAAAACAACAACAACAACAACAAAACAAAACTTTAAAGCCAGGCATTTACTTTATTTTCTAAAGATTTTTATTTTACTTACTTGAAAGGCAGAGTTACAGGGAGAGGTAGAAACAGAGAGAAAGAGGTCTTCTATCCATTGGTTCATTCCCCAAATGTCTGCAACAACCGGGGCTGGGCCAGGCCGAAGCCAGGAGCCAGGAGCTTCTTCCAGGTCTCCCACATGGGTGCAGAAGCCTGAGCACTTGGGCCATCCTCTGCTGCTTTCCCAGGTGCATTAGCAGGGAGCTGGATTGGAAGTGGATCAGCCAGGTCCCCAAACCAGCGCCCATATGGGATGCCAGCACTGCAGGCCCCAGGCATTTATTTTAAAAACAAAGCCCCTGCACTCTCATTCTGTCCTACCTACAGGAAGACAGTCACATTTTTATCACTATATGTCCTGATTTGTCTAGGACTTCATTTTGTTTTTGCTCACAATTAAGAACTGTCACCTTATATGAAGACATAAGCTGAAGTCTCTAAATTAGGGATCAGAACCAGGGACAAGTTTGTAAAGGGAAAAGGAGTATCAGTCTATGCTCTTTCTTCCTTCTCTTAGAAATTGTCTAGACCGGTGTTTGATTTTCTACCCTGCTTGGATTTATTTAACTCCAAAGAACCAAATCTAAGACACATGCTGCAAATAAATGCTCCTCTAAAGACATTCAAAGCCACTGGCTGAAGTGCCAGTGCTTCAGGTGGTTTGAGTCCTGAAGTGCTTCAGGTGGTTTGAGTCCTGGCTGCTCTGCTTCCTTCCCAGCTCTCTGCCAATGTGCCTGGAAAAGCAGCAGAGGACGGCTCAAGTCCTTGGACCCCTACCACCCAGGTGGGAGACCGGAAAGAAGCTCCTGGCTCCTGCTTTCGGCCTGACCCAGGCGGGGCCATTGTGACTATTTGGGGATTTGAGGAGTGAACCAGAAGAAGGAAGATATCTCTCTCTTTCTCTCCTTCTATCTCTGTAACTCTGCCTTTCAAATAAATAAATAAATCTTTAAAAATAAACAAACAAGAAAAGATACTCAAAAGTCCAAGACTTAACAAAGCCTCAGTGGTGGCTGCTTCCCTTTACTGTAGGGAATTCATAGAATTATTCTATCCTATGAAGTCCCAGGCTTAATGCTAGGTAGATAGAGTCTTTTACGCTCATAGCCTATTTCCAGGAAGATAATTATTTTAACAAGCAGAGAAAAAACATTAAGACTTAGCCCAGAAACCCTCAAGTACTACTTATGCCTCTAAAAGTTATTCATTCCCCCTATATAGGGCGTACCTAAAATAATGAAGAAAAAGATGCATCAGAAGTCATTAGCTGGGGGCCGGAGTTGTGCGCAATGGGCTATAAGGCACCACCTGCAATGACGGCATCCCATACAAGCACTGGTTGAGCCCTGGCCGCTCTACTTGCTATGTGCCTGGGAAAAGCGGCAGAAGATGGCCCCAGGGCTTGGATCACCTGCTCACCTGGGAGACCTGGAGAGAATCCAGGCTCCTGGCTTCAGCACACCCCGTCCCAGCCATTGTGGCCATTTGGGGGCGTGAACCACTGGATGGAAGATCTCTCTCTCTCACTTGCTACCTCTTTCTGTCTCTCTCAACCCGCCCAACTCTGCTTTTCAAATAAATTATAAATCTTTTTTTGAAGTCATTAACTGCAACAAGCTTATAGCATGACATAACTATGAAAATAATCCCACTACTAAAAAGTTAGCAACTCAAAAACTAAAATGAAAAATCCTCAACATAACTGCTTTTCACATAAGCTCTCTCAAAGAGAAAAGAATCTTACTCTTGAGTAAAAGACTTTCAGAAGGGATAAATACTGACAAAGTAGACATGTGGTGCACTTAGGCCAAAATCATTCTTTGGCCAGAACCGGGAGAAACGGGACCCAACGTTTACTGATACCATCCCTAGAATACAAAGCAACACACTGGATACAAAAATAACCACCACACAGGATAAAACAGCCACTGAGAGATAAGGACTTAGCAATCACTTACATATTTACAAACTAAACTGAGGCTCCCATAATTTCAAGAGTTTCTCCACTGGGAGTGGTTCTACCCGCACCAGGGGACATTCAGCAACATTTGTGAGCAGGACTAAAGGGAGTAGTCTCAGACTCGTGCCTAGAGACCAGGACTGCTGCTAAATACCCTAAGGAAGGCCCCTCTCCGACAAGGAATTATCCAATTCAAAATGTCTGTGGTGACCCTGTTGAGGAAAACTCTGCCTTACAATAAAAATGAAAAGCTCTAGTAGTTACATAAATCTTATGATGATCTATAATCCATGGAAAGCAGTACGATTTAAATACCTAATTACAGTACAGACAGAACTGTCAAGTACATTCTATTACGATTTAAATACCTAATTACAGTACAGACAGAACTGTCAAGTACATTCTATTACGATTTAAATACCTAATTACAGTACAGACAGAACTGTCAAGTACATTCTATTGCTACTCACCCACAATCCTTCCCCTCCTTCCTTACCCTCTACTCTCTCCTGAGCTCGTCTTTTAAGACACCTTCCCACTCCAAATCTCCAATTCTTCCAGAGAAGTAAAAGGGAACATTGTCTTATCTATGAGGCTAGAGGTCTAGAAGTACTCCAGAATAATCATAATGAGGCTAATATATGGTCATAAATTTAAGTATTATGTTTTGATTATGAAAAAAGAATGCTATGCTAACACAATTTTGTCATCTCTTTCCAGAATCACCTCAAAACATTAGACTTGATCCATAACTCAATACAAAGTACCGAGGCCAGTGCTGTGGCATAGTGGGTGAAGCCACAGTGCCAGCATCCCATATGGGCACCAGTTCAAGACCCAGCTGCTCCACTTCCAATCCAGCTCTCTGCTGTGGCCTGGGAAAGCAGTAGAAAATGGCCCAAGTCCTTGGGCCTCTTTACCCGCATGGGAAACCTGGAAGAAGCTCCAGGCTACTGCCTTCGGATCAGTGCAGCTCCAGCCGTTGTGGCCAACTGGGAGTGAACCAGCAGATGGAAAATCTCTCTGTCTCTCCTTCTCTCTGTGTGTAACTCTGACTTTCAAATAAATATTTAAAAAATAATACAAAGTACCGCCTTGTCTGTTTCTTAAATACTGTGAAAAAAGTTACCTATTCTGAGGATTTCATCAGAACAAAGTGAGTTCTAAAACTATTGCTTGCTAATAGGTAGTCTTGGACTCAAATCTGCTGTGCATATTAGACCTAAATAGCTTCTTTTTATTTGTCATTAAGTCTCTTTTAAAAACTCTTCATTTTGGGGCCAGTGGCCAGTTTGTGGCTCAGTGGCTTAAAGCCCCGGCCTGCAGCGTCAGCATCCCATATGGGCACTGGTTCGGTTCCAGCTGCTCCACTTCCAATCCAGCTCTCTGCTATGGCCTGGAAAAGAAGCAGAGGATGGCCCAAGTCCTTGGGCCCCTGTGCCCACGTGGAAGACCTGGAGGAAGCTCCTGGCTCCTGAGTTTGGATCAGCTCAACTCTGGCTGTTATGGACATTTGGGAAGTGAACCAGCAGACCTCTCTCTCTTTCTGTCTCTACCTCTCTCTGTAACTCTGCCTTTCAAATAAATAAAATAAATCTTAAAAAAAAAAAAAAAAACCTTCATTTTAATATTCTCAGATTCAGAAAGTACAGAAAGTAAGTCCATCTTTTTTTTTTTTTTTTTTTTGGACAGGCAGAGTGGACAGTGAGAGAGAGAGACAGAGAGAAAGGTCTTCCTTTTACCGTTGGTTCACCCCGCACATGGCCGCTACGTCCGGTGCACTGCACCGATCCAAAGCCAAGAGCCAGGTGCTTCTCCTGGTCTCCCATGTGGGTGCAGGGCCCAAGCACTTGGGCCATCCTCCACTGCACTCCTGGGCCACAGCAGAGAGCTGGACTGGAAGAGGAGCAACCAGGACAGAATCCAGCGCCCCGACCGGGACTAGAACCTGGTGTGTCGGCGCCGCAAGGCGGAGGATTAGCCTAGTGAGCCGCGGCGCTGGCCGCAAGTCCATCTTTAACTTATTTTTACATTTTATATTTCATTTAAATCCTAGTTTGCATAGTTTTCACTCAACTGCATATAGTGGCAGCATTTCAATATCTACATCCTAACATACTTTAAAACTACTTCTTTTATAGTCTTTTCTCTTTAATTTCTCTAGTTTCATTAAATATTTTTGGAAGCACAGTGAACAAACTTCCCAATAACAGGGGAAGTATGAAAAACATCTGTACAAGGGTAGGTCCACATTTAGGATTTATTTTCAATATCCTTCTTTAAAAATGACATAACACTAAAATTATTTTTCACATAAAAAGGAAGTCAATATATTTTTAAATACTCTATACCAAGCCTAGTCAGGATGCATTTAGGGCATAGTGTTCAAGTAAACGTGGCAATCTGTTTCAACAATGTCACTTTTAAGATATGTATGTGTATACAGAGATCTAGTATAAATATCTTGGAGATGGAAAAAAGTCGAATAGTGTCCCAGAGATGACTCAGCCATAAGGTAGTCTAAAATATATCTGTTTAAAAAAAACCCATAAACAAACTTATTATTGTAATACATAAAATCTATTATTGAAAATTTATGAATTTGTCCAGTCACCCATGCATCCACGTAGAAGGCAGAAATATTTTTAATAAAAAATTCTAATCATGGTTTAAGCTTCACTTATATGAGGCTAGACTGGTGATTTCTTTCTTTATAGAACTTTTTTTTTTACAATGACTTCAGGGCACTATACCTTCTTAACGATAGCGTAAACTTAATTCTTAATAATGCAGAAAAATCCACTCACCATTTCAGTGGTGTGCCTTCATATTCAAACCATATCTCACTAATGTCTTCTTGTCTCATAACCTTCTGAAAGTGCTTTTTCACTTTGTCAGTTACCAACGTCAAATAACTTACTCTTGGCAATAGCAACTGAAATGAAAATTTGTAAAACCACGTTTATTTACTGGTTATTCTTTCCAAAAATATATACTCAATAGGTTTTTGAATTTTAAGGAAAAACAGCTATGTTCTTTGCATCACTTCAAATTTCCCACCCAAAGGTAAGTGCTTTTCATAGAAAATCAAAAGCTAAAGGTTAGACATTTTAATTATTTGTTATGGGGTCAACATAAGTATAGAATAAATACCTAGAATAACTGAAACAAATCTACAATCTTTCTGTGAACACTTTAAATAAAAATGATATAGCTACACCATTTAGGATACTTATTAGTTCTATCAAAAAAATTTTTTAAGATTTATTTTATTTATTTGAAAGAGTTACAGAGAAAGGTAGACAGAGAGGGAGGGAAGAGAAAGGGGGGGAGGAAGGGAGGGAGGGAGGGAGGGTCTTCTAACCATTGTTTTACTCACCAAATGGCTGCAACAGCCAAAGCTGAGCCAATCAGAACCCAGGAGCCAGGAGCTTCTTCCAGGTCTCCCACACAGGTATAGGGGCGTAAGCACTTGGGCCATCCTCTGTGCTTTCCCAGGCACATTAGCAGGGAGCTGGATGGGAAGTAGAGCAACTGGGACGCAAACCAGTGCCAATAGGGGATGCTGGCGCTGGAGGCCAGGGCTTTAACCCATTGTGCCCCAGCACTAGGCCCAAGTTCTATCAAATTTATCTTAAAAATCAAAGTAATTCACCTGAGTCAAAGTGTTCGGAGAAGATAATGAACTCAACCCAAGCATACACCTAGACTTATCAATCAGAACCTCTTAACTGGTTCACCATGTTTTGAAGACTAGGAAAGAATATACCACTTAGTAAGGCCTCAACTGGAGCAATATGAAGGAGGTCAGTGTTTTACTCCCAGAAAAGGTAGCCAGGAAGAAAAGAGACTTTTAGAAAATTAATTATGGTTTATATGGTTAAGAACCCATAAGTAGACAAAGGAGAAGGTTGGCAAAAATTCATGTTTTTCCACCTTTGCAACAGATACTCTAGCCATTTCTTGCTTTCCCAAGCTTCTGCCTTCTTTGGGTGGCAAAACTGCTTTGCTTCTCATCATCAGCGACTTTTATTAAGTCTAACTCTGTACCATCACAGTGATGTCTTTTGATAAGGAAACCTGGCAGAATTGCTAGGCTGGCAAATATTTATAAAGAGAAAAATTATAGTTGAAGGAACTGATATTTAATCCCTGAAGTCTAAGATAACAAGGCCAACTACTTGGGGAGACCATGACAGCAGTCTTTGGGGCTACAAGGTACAGCGGTACAAGGAGACAGTTAATATTCTCCAGTGTGGAATATGAGGTATGAAGTACTACACACAATCTATTAAATAGGGCTGATATTATGGGTCAACAGAATATACGTCCTTCTTTTATAAAGAAATGACTAATTAAGGGGCCGACAATTTGGGTAGCGGGTTAAGCTACCACCAGCAACACCAGCATCCCATATGGGTGCTAGTTCACGTCCTGGTTACTCCACTTCCAATCCAGCTCCCTGCTAATGGTCTAGAAAAGCAGCAGAGGGCAGCCCAAGTATTTGGGCCTCTGCTACCCACTTGGAAGACCCAGAAGCTCCTGGCTCCTGGCATTGGTCTGGCTCAGCCAAGGCCACTGTGGCCACTTGGGGAATGAACTAAGCAGATGGAAGATCTCCCTCTCTCCCTGTAACTCTTTCAAATAAATAAATCTTGAAAGAAGAGAAAGAGAAAGAGAGAGAGGGAGGGGGAGGGAGACGGAGAGGGAGAGGGAAAGGGAGAGAGGGAGAGGGGGAGAGGGAGAGGGAGAGAAGGAGAGGGAGAGGGAGAGAAGGAGAGGGAGAGGGAAAAGGAGAGGGAGAGAAGGAGAGGGAGAGGGAAAAGGAGAGGGAGAGAGGGAGGGAGAAGGAGAGAGGGAGGGAGGGGGGGAGTGAGAGGGAGGGAGGGGGAGGGAGGGGGAGGGAGAGGGAGGGGGGAAAGAGGGAGGGAGGAAGGAAGGGCTAATTAGAAAAAAAAGGAAATCAATATTTACTATACATAAGGAAAAGCAAAGGTTCCTTTACAGGAAGTATTATCACCTATTTTACAGACAGTTTAACTTCAAAATCATATGCTATTAAATAAATAGCACAGAAAAAACTCATTGGATTCTTTCAGAAGTGACAGAATCAATATAAAAAGATGTGACATGAAGTCTCTAAGCAATAAAAACAGCTGGGGCCCACACTGTGGTGCAGTGGATAAAGCTGCTGCCTGTGGTGCCAGCATCCCCTACAGGCGCCGGTTTGAGTCCCGGCTGCTATACTTCTGATCCAGCTCTCTATTATGGCCTGGGAAAGCAGTAGAAGACAGCCCAAATCCTTGGGCCCCTGCACCAGTGCGGGAGACCTGGAAGAAGCTCCTGGCTCCTGGCTTTGGATCGGTGCAGCTCCCAACACTGCAGCCAACTGGGGAGTGAACCATTGGATGGAAGACCTCACTCTCTCTGCCTCTCCTCTATCTGCATAACTCTGATTTTCAAATAAATAAAAAAAATATTTTTAAAAATAAAAACAGCACAGTAAATCAGCCATTAAAAAATAATTATAACCAATTAGTCTAATAAGATCTATATTGATAAATTCTGAAGTTTAGTTTAAGATGACTACTGGTCATTCCACAGTAATCTGTCTCGTAGATATGTTAAGAAGGAAGACGCACCATGACTACTGAGCACGGCTCTCAGCCTGATTCTGAAAAATGCTGTACTACATGCCTACAATTCAAAGTTGAATTAAAAAATGACTTCTATGAAATAAAAATTTCTTTACAATAGGAATGAAGAACATGAGAATGAAACCTCCCATAAGACAGGAATTTGGGACTCTCTTGTTCAATGCTACATTCCCACTGCCAAAAACAGAGCCTGCTATTATAGTAGGTGCACAATAAATATTTGCTGAATGAATCAGAGATGCCAAAGGTTAACCGGGCAAAGATCCAGAAATGATAATTAAAAACGAAAACACATTCCTAAGATGGAATCCACACTGGAATGGATTATTGTTGCCATCCTCTGCTCCAAACTGACTTCTGGGAGTAATCTTTAACTGCTGTAAAGACCAATAATAACATTAAAAAATTATTAAGATAAAAGACTGACTACATCCAAGAACAGAGACACAATTTATTTAGGAAATATTTAAATAGGTGAAAATGAAAAGAACAGCAGAGTGACGTCATCTTGCCTTTTACCTCAGTGTTTTTATTAGATATATCTCATTGGTTTACTTTATGTTCTTCTTACTCAGGTAAAATATACCTAGCAGAAAATTCTCCATTTTCACTATGTGCAACTGTACAGTGCAGGGGTAAAACACATATTCACGCTGTTGTGCAACCATCACCACCATCCTTCTCCAAAACCTTTCACTACTCCACCTGGAAACTACTTATTAAACAGTAACTCCTCAGCCGTCTCTTTCCCCAGCATTGACTATTCCAGGTGCCTCATGGAAGTGAGGCCATACACTTTTCCTTTTGCACCTGGCATATTTCACTTAGCATAAAGTCAACATTTTTTTTAAGTTATCGTAGGATGAAAAAGATGAACCCTAATGGAATCTATTGTTCTCTTATTCTTCATTTAGCAGTAGTATAAAGCACTCATTATAGCACAAGTGATTCATTTTTTTAATACAGCTTAAAAGGAATACATATTTTACACAATTGTATGGAATATTTATGTGCCTGAAAAGGGTCCATAATATATTTCATTATGCCAAGTCTCATTCTGTCAAACAATTGTCAATTATTAAGTCAGAAACTCATCTAAGGCAAAAATTGAAGTACAACATACTGGAATTCAGTTACACCCCAACGGTACTAGGCAGAAAGGATGTAGTCCTGAATGACACAGAAAGTCCTTCGTCCCATACAGCACAGAGACTAGAGAGGGAAACAGATACTAAAAACAAAATTTCAAATGTGATGAATTCAAGAAGGAAGGTAAAGAATGTTGCAAGACCCAGTAGCGAAGTTAATTTGAGAGAATCTAAGCCAGGACTCAGGAAGCCTTCACAGAAAGTACGCTGGAACTTAAAGAGTTGAAAGACAAGGAGCAGTAAACCAAACACGGGTGGGTATGGATTTCTGGGTGTGTGTATGCATGTTGTGGAAGATGCTCCTACTCATTCCAGAAGACACTGTAAGCCAAAAGGCAAAGTGTGGACACAGAGCACCACAGATGGACACATCTGAACAAACTCTAAGAAGCTGAATACGATAGAAATGTAAAGAGCTGGGTTCCAACAGTGCCATACTGGGACAGAACATTGGCAAGTTCATGACGTGTGGTCCACTGAAGTCACTATGAAGAGGACTCAAGGAAGAACTGGCCATTTTTGGGAGAAAACAAAGCAGTGCTTACTAATTATGACTGTACTTTGGATGTGGATTTGCCGTACCATTCTTCATATTAATAGAGCTGCTTAAGAAATAGCAATGTTTCAGTTCATTTGTTTAGTAGATATGAAGAGCATTTTTAGAAGTACAATCTCTGAAAAATGGACCAAACTCATGAACTCATATTGCAACTTATGACATAACGGAAGAAAAAAAAATAAGTAAAATTGTGACAGAATATTACGTAAGAAGATCGCAGAGAACCTTTCAAACTACATTAACGTTTCCTAAAGATAATGAAAAACCAATAAAGACTTAAGGAGGCAGGCGACAAGAACAGTTTGTGTTTGTGAAGGAACATTTGCAACTGCATACTAAAACATGTAGAAAAGGGAAAGCTGAAGTCAGGAAAAATGGTTACTGCCATGCAATCCATCAGTTGTTAATTCATGGTCTAGACTAAACTACAGCAGGGGTCGAAGGGAATCAGAGAAGCTTGAGAGGAATTGATATACAACATCAGCTGGACCAAAAGGCAGGGATATGGGGGAAGGAATTGTCAAAGGATGAGTCCCAGGTTTTCAGTAAGGGTAGTAAGATGGATGATGGCTCCCTGTAGCAAAGCAGGAAGCAGAGAAGAGCAGATGACCAGGTTTTCTGGGGGTAAAGATGATAGGCCCTGTTTTCAACACACTCAGTTTGAGTCCCTTCAAGACATCTAAGTGAGGCTCTCCACCAAAGAGATATATAGGTCTGCAGTGCAGGAGAAAAACACTGGGAGTTGTCAGGATATACATGTTTGATAATGAAAAAAAATGGATGAGAGCATAGCAGGGTGAAGGAGTGGGGGGAAAAGGCAAAGCGCTATGGAATCCCAACATTAAGGAACAAACAAAAGAAATCGGTCAGAAGAGATGAGAGAGAGAGAGAAAGCAAAACCAAGAATACAGGACTATGCAGAACAAGACAGTACCACAATGGGTAGAAAACAGCCAACAACATTGAAAACTACTGAAAGATCAAGCAAACAAAAATTCAGAAACAAGCACCAAGTTTGGCCAGAGACACAGAGAGAGAAATCATTAGTGACTTTGGCGAGAATCACTGTGTTGGAACAGCATGAAAATGGGACAACTACAAGTCAAGTGATGGGAAGCAGGAGGAAGAAAGTAAGAATGAACAAACTTTTGGGGGGCTAGTGCTGTAGCGGGTAAAGCTGCTGCCTGCAGTGCCAGCATCCCATATGGGCACTGGTTCAAGTCCCAGCTGCTCCACTTCCAATCCAGCTCTCTGCTAGGGCCTGGGAAAGCAGCAGAAGATGGCTGAAGTCCTTGGGCCCCTGCACCCACATGGGAGACCCAGAAGGAGCTCCTTGCTCCTGGCTTCGGATCAGTGCAGTCCAGCTGCAGAGGCCATCTGGTGAGTGAACCAGGGGATGGAAGATACCCCCCTCTCTGCCTCTGCCTCTGCCTCTGCCTCTCTGTAACTCCACCGTTCAAATAAATCTTTAAAAAAAATTCATTTTGGTGTGGCTGCAAAGAGAAAGCAAGGAATTGAGTGAGAGGGAAATGGGTCAACAACCAACAAAGAACTGTGGCTTAGGGACAGGAAGCATCTATGACAATATAAATACTATGAAGCAGCCAGCAGACAAAAGTTCAAAGCAAAACAAACAGAGAAGCAGGAGGTAGAGACAGGAGAGTTAGCTAACAACAGCTTCCAGAGAAAGTAGGAGATGGGAGCCAGAACACAGATGGGCGGTTAGGTCTGACCTAGGAGGAAGAACACTTCTTCCATTCCAACAGAAGGGGGAGAAGTCCAAGTGCGTGCTGCAGACAGAACTTCCAGATTTGGTTGCAGAAAATTAAGGAAGGTCCTCACAAGAACTGAGTTCACATGGTTAAGTGTTAAGAGATGAAGCCAGGGCTCAGAGAAACAGGCTTAGCAGAAAAAAGCAGGGACAGCTGACTGAGCAAACAGAAGAGGATTGCTGAATAATCTTTAGGATCCACAGAAGTAAATGGCATTCCCCTGATTGTATGATTTCATCTAGCAATACATCACAAGACCCAAATGCAAATTAGTATTTTTAAACTGGATAATCTAAATGAAAAGCAACAGTGTAAATGGATATAACAGAAACAAAAAACTGAAAAGCTACCTAGCTTCTAAAAAATTCCCTAACTAATATCACCTGCAAAACATAATCCTCAATGACTGAAAGAAGATTCATGCAGAGGCAACAAACCAAAACACAGAAATATCAAGACTAAACATATTTTCAAGCTTAATTTACAACTGAGACATATCCAAACACAATGGCACTAAAATGTTCACCTATGATTCTAACCTGGCTCCTGTTTTCATGTGTTTTCCTCCTGTATGAATTAACTTACACTTAAGTATATATGTATTTAAAGAGCAAACTTTGGGTTGTACTACGAAGTTTTAACCCCTACCTATTGTTTATTATTCATTTATCATATGACGATCACCCAATATTCTTCAAAAATACAAGTCAGAACCATGTAAGACTTTCCTTCAGTGAACAATTAGAAAGAATTCAGGAATTAAACAATTACCAATAAGGCAAGATAATCCTCCTTTTCCTACAGTTACACTTTTAGCATTTTCAATGTGATTAAAAAACAGAAAACTATTTACACCCTATTTCTCACAAATATTTTAAACAAATTCATATTTAAATGAAAAATACTGAATTCTTTTAAATTTTAACTTTAGGAAGTTATGTCAAATGAGTCTGATTTAAAAATAAACAGACAAATTATATTTCTCAGTTGTCACCACTTTAACCAACTAAATACATATACTCCTTTGTTTTAATACTATAGAAAGCCAGCCAAGATTTTTAATCTAAACGACAAAAATTCATTTGGAAACAAAACATAAATGGTATTACATGGTATCTTAACCCATGTTACAGAGAGAACAGAAAAAAAATACACCTTACAGATGAAATTCTTCTACAAATAAACTGTGTCCACTTTGAACTGTGGAAGTTTTTCTAAAGACAGAAAAGGACATATTTGAGATTTTTCAAGTTACTCAAATGTATAAGCTGAAGTACCAATAGCAAGACTACCTAGTGTCTCAAAATTATTACTGCTAGGAAAAAAAAAAAAAAAAACAAAGAGATAATTTCAAATAAATCCAAACATGAGGTTGGGGGGCCTTCCACACTTAGTTTTTGCCATTTGCATAAGCCCATGTGGATGCTGAGGAGGCAAAAGGAAAAAAAAAACTCCCATCCATAAAAAGGGAGTGAACGAGTTTGCTTAAGCAGCTTCCTCTAGCGGTGTCACTGCACTCTCAGACAGATAGGGAGGAATGCAAAGAAGAGAAACAGAAGAAGTCATCCATCAACACAAATATGTTGCCACTTCACCATATCCACTCCAGGTACACCACAAAAATAAACAACTAGAACTGAGACACAAAAATAAACAACTAGAACAACTGAAAATGCCTTCGCCTATTAGGAACTATTCAGTATATAGGCAGGATACCATCAGCCCTAATTAACAGATGCACAAACCTGGATGACATACACATTTAGAAAAGGTGGGGGGAGGGCAGCACTGTGGTGTAGGAGGCTAAGCCTCCACCTGCAGCGCTGGCATCCATATGGTCGCTGGTTCCTGTCCTGGCTGCTCTTCTTCCAATCCAGCTCTCTGCTTATGCCCTGGGAAAGCAGTGGAAGATGGCCCAAGTGCTTGGGTCCCTGCACCCATGTGGGAGACCCGGAAGAAGCTCTTGGCTTTTGGCTTCATATCAACTCAGCTCTGGCCTTGAGGCCATTTGGGGAATGAACCAGTGGATAGAAGACCTTTCTCTCTGTCTGTAACCTCTCAAATAAATAAATAAAATCTTTTTAGAACAGATAATCCATTAACTCAAACCTAGATATCTATGTATGACAATTTAGAACATGTATTACTAAATATATATTTTATATTAGATCATATATAACATGGTAGTTCAGCAAACATAGAAAAGTATATGTGTGTGTCTGTTCTTATGTCCACTGAGCTATGACAATACTTGGCTAAACAGCTGCCTGGAATACCCATAATTAAAAAAACCATAAAAAAACCCAATCTGAATCTATTTTCAAAATAGGTTTCTATTTAGAAAACAGCATATAGCCTATCACCCATGATCCAACAATATATATGCATATATGCGTAAGAAAAAAAATCAAGGAGTGTCACATCAACTTGTCAACAGTGGTTTTATACTCTGGGTGATAAGATTAGAAGTCACTTTTATTTCCTTTTTTTTTTTTTTTTTTTTTGCATATCTGTTTTTTCTAAGTTTTCTCTCCCAAAACAGCATGGATTAATTATACCTAAAATGTTGGTTAACAGCCTTTTGGAGCTCTAACAGATACTCAGAGCTTTATTTACAAAACTGGATGAAGATAAATATCCCATCTGCCACCACCAACATACTTACATAGTATGGTTCTGCTTCCCTTTCAGTTATTTCATCCTGACACAGAGTGAAGCAAGTTGGAATCCGTCCAAACCACACATCTCGAAGCACATCTTTGTCATCTGTCATTCTTCCAGTGGTTAAAGCAGTACATATAGGCTAAATTCTTTGTTCAACCAAAGCCAAACTGAAAATAAAATGAAGAACATTAGTCAGATCCTTGACAGGATGAGAACAAACCTGCTACCAAACAAAAGATTATGGGGAAAAAGTGAATGCAATAAGGATTATTTACTTCAAAAAAATCTATGTGATCAGGATTTCTTAAGAACTAGTAAAAACTAATAAAAATAAAATTCACCACAAGTCCTAAATGCAGAGCTATTATTTGTTTAAATGGATCAAACAACAACTCACAACGTTCATTACAAACTCAAGTAATGAACCCAGAAGAATCACTTATCTAAAAGGATCTTACACCTATGCCCTATGACCCCTGATAGCTCAATTCCAAAGAATCGTTCTCACACATTACCCCTGCCATACCCTAATTAGTCAGCTTCTACTCTGGATAATTCCTCCTCTCTTCTCGCAAGTATATTCTCTTATTTTGAACAAATCTTTGTATAAACCGCTTCCTCATTTTAAATTTCTTCCTTTCTACTAGTTGTTCCCACCAACATTTCCATTCTTACTATACTTCTTTTTATAAACCCTCTAGCAAAAGCGGCCCCCAAACAAGCTCTGTGTTCTACCTCCCCTGGCCTACTATGCTCTTCTCTCACCTATTAAAATCCAACCAAATTCTGTAAACCAGGCTTACAGTCCTCTGCTCCAGTGAATGGGTAAATGCTTCTACCCTCAACTCTTAGAATGTCCCTATACCATAAATATAGTATTAAATCTGCAACCTGAAAAATTTTGGATAAAGGACATGACTTTTGACTTCTGTAATGTCTAAGTGTCTTCCTGTGCTAATGTTCTACAGCTATTTAACACCACAATATACTATTAGAACATATGTTGAAATGAGTACTGTTGATAATAAATGCCAACAGTAACTAAACAGGTAGCACCTATATATTAAAATTCAATATACTTATTCAAATAATATTCCTCATTTTTCATAGGTAGTAATTTATAATTTATCATATTATATCCGCTTAAAAACATTCTATAAAATCATGAGTTTAGCCAAATATAATCAATAACACTAAATTATTCAAGAAGCCTTTTCTTTTTTCTTCCACTGACCAATGCCAAGTACATTAAGACTGCCATAAATTAATCAGAAAAAGGTGAAGGTCAATTGGCTGCCATGTCATCTACATGTAAATAAGCTGAAAGAAGTGGAAAAAACATCTGTCCAACAACAAAGCACCAAGCAACAGTCAAATTAGGGTAGGAACTCTTGTATGTAAACTAAGTCCGGTGCAATTTCAGCATACCACTGTTTTAACTTTCATTAAAATATATCTACAGGAGCCAGCGTAGTGGCCCAGTAGGTTAAGCTGCCACCTGCAATACCAGTGTGAGAGCAAGTTTGAGACTTGGCTATTCCACTTCCATTCCAGCTCTCTACTAATGCACCTGGGAAAGCAGTAAAAGGTGGTTCAAGTACTTGGGCCCCTGCCACCCAGAAGGGAGACCTGGGGGAAGCTCCTAGCCATTTAGGGAGTGAACCAACAGATGGAAGACCTCTCTCTCTCACTCTTCTCTAACTCTGCCTTTCAAATAAAATAAATCTTTAAAATACATACATATATATCCATTAAAATAACTACTTTAGGCAAACAATAAACACATGTAAACTTCATGTAGCTCCACATTGACAGGCTTCAAACTCAAACAACATGCTTAATTTCTGCATTCAGCAGAAAATTTCCAGGTTTACAGATCATACAAAATTAGGTCACTGAAAATAGGAAAGCTCTTACTACTCTCAATTACATTAACAGGTTGGTCTTTTTCAGTGGATTTATCAGTGACAGGAATTAATGAAATCTGGATTACAAATAAATCTAAAATTTGAATCTGATAAAGGTGGTAAGCAGTGGTCTCTATAACCCTAATACAACAGATTAATCAAGAGCTACAAATGCGGGGCTGGTGCTGTGGTGTAGTATGTATAGCCACCACCTGCAGGGCTGGCATCCCATATGGACACCAGTTCAAGTCCCAGCTGCTCCTCTTCTGATCCAGCTCTCTGCTGTGGCCTGGGAAAACAGCAGAAGATGGCCCAAGTTCTTGGTCCCCACACCCGCATGGGAGATCTGGAGGAAGCTCCTGGCTCCTGGCTTAGGATCTGCTCAGTTCCAGCTGTTTCAGCCATCTGGTGAGTGAACCAGCAGGTGTAAGATACCTCCCTCTCTCTCTCTCTGCCTTTCAAGTAAATAAATAAATAAAATTAAAAAAAAAAAAAAGAGCTATAACTGAGATCTCTGTCTTTCTCAGGAAGCAGAAGCAACCTGAAACAGAGCTCCTTCACAAACATTTAAGAAAACGTCATTATGACTCTAAAGTTAAGTCACAGCCACACTGGATAATCTTTCCTCTCAGAAGAAGCCAGCCAGACAATACAGTTCAAAACAATTCAAAATTCAAGTGGGAATGGCCATCCAGGGAAAAGCATCCTGACTGGCTCTTCTCTCAAGGAATCAGTCAAATTGGTCAGACTCCAGAACATCATTTCAGCCCTGTTTATTAATAGGAGGGATTGTCATGAACCAAAATACCATTCGTGTAGGTGTGGCTCCTCGCCTTCCTTCTAGGCTGCCCGATGGCGGCACCTGACTGACCTTCCTGCTTTCTTTCAATGACATCTCCTTCTGCTTCTGCCATGCATCAGGAAGAGCAAAAAGACATGCAAAGAGTGTCCCTTTAGGCTCTGAGTCCCTCTCCCAAAGAAATAAAAGTATGGTAACAGGAGATGGGAGCATACATCAACATCCCAACTACAGGCTTGCATTTATTTATTTACTTATTTATTGAGAAGGGCAAACAGAGATTTCCCATCTGCTGGTTCACTCCCTCAGATACCCAAACAGTTACAGCTGGAACAGACCAGGAGCCAGAAACTTAATCCAGGTCTCCCATACACATGGCAGGGACCCAAACACTTGAGCCATCACCTGCTGCCTCCCGGGGTATGCATTAGTAAGAAGCTGGCAGGAGCAGAGCCAGGATTAGCAGGCATTCTGAAATGGGATGTGGGCATCTGTGGCAGTATCTTAACTGCTGTACCAAATGCCTGCAATAGGGTTTGATTTTATTATAGTCTTGTGTTCCAGTCAAGTTTATCAAAGTTCTACAGAAGGATTTTAGGCATAAAAACAAGTGAAGGATAAACTGGTATCTTATTTCCCATATGTCATTTTTCTAACACGTATTTCTTGTTGGACCTCAAGGGAACAACTGACGGAAAACCAAGGCAGCTGAAGATGTAATGTAGTGGAATTGATAGAAATTTTGCAAAACAGAAACTCTGCAAAACAGTTTATGAAAACCGCACACAAAATATGCAAACTCAAGTTTACTGACTCAAAATATGCAGACTCAAGTTTAAAGAATTGTAAAAAGTTCATCTTTTAAAAAAAGATGTGATTTATCTCATTTTGAAAGAGTTACAAGGATAGAGGGAGGGAAAGGTAAAGACAAAGTGAGAGAGAGAGAGAGACAGAGAGAGGCAGAGAGAGAGAATTTTTGATCTGATGGTTTAGTGCTCAGGACTGGGACAGACCAAAGCCAAGAGCCAGGAACTCTATCCAGATCTCCTGCATGGGTGGCCAGGGCCCAGTTGCTTGTGCCATCTTCTGCTGCTCTCCCAGACGCATCAGCAGGGAGCTAGATCAGAAGTAGAACAGCCCGGACTCTAACCACTGCTCATATGGGAAGCCGGTGTCACAGGCAGTGGCTTAACCCTACATGCCACAATGCTGGACCCTAATTGTTCAATATTAATCAAGATCATATATAAGGAATCACATAAGAAAAGCAAGCCTCTAGGCTAGTGTATACTAAAGTTAAAAAAAAAAAAAAAGTGCAATAGGCCAGCGCCGCGGCTCAATAGGCTAATCCTCCACCTGTGGCACCGGCACCCCAGGTTCTAGTCCCAGTCGGGGTGCTGGATTCTGTCCCGGTCGCTCCTCTTCATGTCCAGCCCTCTGCTGTGGCCCGGGAGTGCAGTGGAGGATGGCCCAAGGACTTCACCTGCACCCGCATGGGAGACCAGGAAAAGCATTTGGCTCCTGGTTTCGGATCAGCACGGTGCGCCAGCCACAGCGCGCCGGCCGGCCATTGGGGGATGAACCAACGGAAAAAGGAAGACCTTTCTCTCTCTCTCAGTGTCCACTCTGCCTATCCCAAAAAAAAAAAAAAAAAGTGCAATAGAGGCCAGCGTTGCGACATAATAGGTTAAGCCACTACCTGTAACACCCGCATCCCGTAAGGGTGCCCGACTGAGTCTGGCTGCTCCACTTCTAATCCAGCTTCCTGCTAATGCCCCTGAGAAAATAGCAGAAGATGGCCCAAGCACGTGGACTGCCACGCTCATGTGGAAGACCCAGATGAAGCTCCTGGCTCCTGGCTTCAAGCTGGCCCAGCCTGGACTGTTGCGGCCATCTGGGGAGTAAACCAGAAAATGGAAGATCTCTCTCTGTATCTCTCCCTCTCTGCAACTCAGTCTTTCAAATAAATAAAATAAATCTTTTTTAAAAAGTGCAAGAAAAATTGATATTAAATAATCCAATAATTCTTTATAAACAGAGGCGGAAAAACAAAATTTTACTTTTGAGAGGCACTATACTGTAGGACTTAAAAATATGATGTGAATTCAGACTGCCTGGATCTAAAAATCTAGCTTCACCACTTACAATGTAACTCAGTTACTTAAGTTCTCTATATAAAATGAGGAAACAGCACTTAACACATCAGACAGAATTAAATGAATTAATACATGTAAAGACCTTAGAACAGCAGCAGTCATTTAAGTAGTATATAGGCTATCTACTATTACAATTTAAGAACCAAAAGCATGTCTCAAAAAATGTTTAAAAGCTGGGACAGGCATTTGGGACAATATTAAGATGCCACTTGGGACAACCACATCCCATATTAGAATGCCTAGCTCCAAGTCTCAGCTCTGCCTCAGCTTCCTGCTTCCAGGTAATGTGCACCCCGAGAGGCAGC